CAATACAAATATTTTGTATACATTTGTGGCTCGCCTATCTACGACTAATACGTAATTTGGCACGTCAGTCAAAATGTTTGAGCTCCACTGATTTATAGGACTATCCGTAATACAATTCAATTGTCTTGGACGTGTTAATAAAAAGTATTTATAATTATTCAAGTATTTAAAATTTTTGATTAAAGCCTCTTTGGGAATTCTTCTGTTACAAGATATATATTAAGTTATAAAATCATATCAACTATGATAAATCAACCTGATTTAAATATCAACTTATCTTATTCTTTATTAGCTTTCTGGCATACGTAGATTAACTCATTGTTAATTACAATACTTTATCAATATAGTGTGTTTTGTATATTCTGTATAATTTAATCTATAAGATTTGTAAACAAGTATGTCAAAGAAATCTTTAAATACTGCACTAATGGTGTGTCATATCCACCTGTGGCTAAGTGAGTAAAACCACTGAACACTGATAGTCGGGGATGGATTCTCACCTGACCAACGGGCTGATCATGTGGAATTTTCCGGGTTTTGCTAACGTTTGTAACATCTAAATAGGTGTCAGTTTCCCATAGAAAATCCTATTGTGGTGCATCCTTCTCGGCAGATCGCCCGCGAGTCGCGTTGTCGTATACAAAAATACAACAATGGTACGTCCTCGTTTAGTTTGACTTCGCTTACATTATCATTCAATATCTATAGGCCTATACTCGTAATTAATTTGTAGAAATATAAATTTTGAAAAATTTAAATTAATGAAACGAAAGTTAACAGCTATTCTGTCCACGATCTCCTAAATAGAGCACAAGCCGTGGCATATCATCATCTCTCATCATCTAATGCGTTCGCAAAAGATGCCCTTCACGTATCATTTTATCTTCTTTGCATTCCGAGTAAGCCATTATCGTTACAGCAACAAATTTGTTCCGAAACTTTGTCATTTCGTATGCTGCATACTCTGAAAGCACAATATGCTGTATGTACTCAAATCATAAGAAAACCGATGTTAAATGGACCAATTTTTAATTATATACTATAGACTTATTCATTCTTGACGAGGTTAAAAAAAACCACTATAAATCAGATTTTTGTAAACTTGGATGACTAATTTGGGATGAGAATCATCGCCAATTAGACCGACTTAGAAGGATTCCATTATACTTGTAAAATATTCATTGTGTATGATAAAATGATTAACATGTGTTTTCCTATATTTGTGTTCACTCTAAACACGAAGTTAATAATGCTTAAACGTATTACACGAAGATTAATACAAATAGAAATTTTCAATGCATTAAAAATTAAACATCAACGAGCTGAATCAGTACTGTAACTTTTCCGTATCCGTACTTTTGTATTATTCTATATGAAAAAATAGTTACACGAATTTTATGCATTTATCCTGTTGCACGAAACTAACAACATTAGTTACACTTGTTATTGTTATGATTTTGTCAATAGCGAACAAGAGAATCGTGGAATCTTACAAAAAAAAACAAAAAATTATTTATAGGGCTTCGTAAAGTTTTTATTTTTTATATACGCTTATATATTTTTATATTACTTTTATATATTGCATATGAACTTATGTATAACAAAAAATATTCAAAATTTTTTCAAGGTGTTAATAACCAATCGGAATCCCGAAAGGCCCGGATTTCCGGTGCATTGCACTATACTACGAGCATCTATCTAAATCCATCATTGATTTTTTTATTACGAAAGATGATAATAAACTTAACATATACATCGCAAAGTCCAATTACATGAACAATTAAATTTTCTCAGACAAGCTATGAGTAGTAGTGTAAAGTTGCTCTTTGGAGTATATTTTACTTTTAATAATATTTTTCGACGCGAATCGTATTCAGGTATTTATATAAATAAAAATTTGTCTAAATATTTCTTATATCAATTTAAATAAAATATCCGGATAAATAATTCTAGACACATGATATGGTAAGTATTAATTTTAAAAAGGACAGTAATCCTTAGTGATTTTAAATAATATGATACTTTCAAAATAATTTTGTTTTGATATCATATTATTTAAAATCACGAAGGATTACCGTCCTTTTTAAAATTAATACTTATCATATCATGTGTCTAGAATTATTTATCCGGATATTTTATTTAAATTGATATAAGAAATATTTAGACAAATTTTTATTTATATAAATACCTGAATACGATTCGCGTCGAAAAATATTATTAAAAGTAAAATATACTCCAAGTGTAACTTTACACTACTACTAACATATACTGATTCATAAATATATTGATATTTATAAATATTCAACTGTAACGAAAACAAATATAATCCACATTGCAATATAAAAGGAATTTATACATGATATAATCTAGTGTCTTATATTCATATATTTCATTTGTAAGCATGTACTAAATGATACGAACAATTATTTATTGTGACATTGTCACAATGTCGGGCTGCTTTTTTTAATCGTATTTTTAATTTATTTAATTTAAAATATATGCTCTTCACTTCAAATTAGTAGAGTCTTGTCCCTGTATATCATACTTTCCTGCTAGCAATAAAGTTGTGCCGGCCATCTATGTAACACCTTTCAGGGGAACATTTTTGAATTAAAATAACATGATTTCCGGTTTGCATTGGAAGTTAGTATATAGTTAATCGGGGCCTTCTACCATTAAAATTTCCATATCTAGCCTCGTATTTTATCTATCCAACTCCTTTCTCGAGAGTAAGGACGGACGACAGCGAGAATTTATAGGTCTGCAATTTTTTCAAATTATAGTCCAATAATCTGTATTATACTGTATTAGCGACGTGATTAAACCAGTGTGAAGTATGACATTTTTGCAATCTAAGTGGAATTAACTGATTTTTACGTGTCACTAATTTATTGAAAAAACATTTAATATTTTTTTTAGATAATTTATTTTAATTAATTAAATGTAATCACATCTTTTCTTATTTTAATAAGAAGATATATAATTTTTTTAGTTTTACTCTGTATTTGAAAAAACACACACAAAGATAAAGTCATCTTAAGCACAGAAGTTTGATTTTACTTTGGTTCAACTGGCGTGCAGTCTACAAAGTGTTTCTATGTGAGTGTTTATTCTGCTTTATTTAGCATCTGTTTATTAAGATGTATTCATTTTTTTATTCTTTTTTATTAACTAATTTTTGCTTGATATTGATACTTTTTGTATAACTTTATATTATACCGCGTTACATTGAACTGTGAACGAGCTGAATTAGAATTTATTTCAAATGCTTTATGAATTATATAAAAAGATTTTGCATAAGTTTGCAGAATTATTTTTTGATAAATGGATCGAAAATTCAAAATCGAGATTTGAAGATATAATGTCGTATATTTTGCAAGAACTGGATAAGTCTTTATGAGAGAAAGGAATTTAGGAGCTTTTGTTAAAAATCAAGTAATAATGAACTAAGGTGGGCAGGAACCTTGAGCTATTTGTAACATCAAATTCGTTACGGCTTGAAGAAAATCCAAGTGTTTTAGCTTCGTTTTTTAGCTTTTAGGTCAACGTTTTGAAAAATAATCAATTTTCCCTAGAAGGCAAAAATACCACACTGTCACCGCCTGCTAGTTAAAAGTAACAGGGTGACCTTTATTTAATATTTAAAAATTTTAGTTTAATTAAAGGATTACTTCATAATTTAAAATTAATTAAATGAAAAAAGTTATCTAATCGTTTGGTATATCGTATTTAATTAGACTGCAATTTGAAAAATTTGCAGACCTATAAATTCTCCCTATCGTCCATCTGTCTGTTTGTCCTTCCTTAATCTCGAGAATGGAGTTAGATAAATGAAATTCATGAGCAGACATAGAAAGCTTAGGGGCAGCAGACTAGATTAACTATATAAGAACTTCCGATATAAACCGAAAGTCATGTTATTTTAATTCAAAAATTTTACTCTGAAAGGAGTTAGATGACCGGCACATCTCTATTGCTAGCCGGAAAGTATGATGTACAGGGGCAAGGCTGTACTAATTTGAAGTGAAGAGCATATATTTTAAATTAAAGAAATTAAAAATATGATTAAAAATTGCAGCCCGGCATTGTGACGATGTTATAATAAATAATTTCTCGTAATAAATTAAATTACATGTGCAAATATAGTCTAAAATAAATTATATGAAAATTGTAAGATAATGTTATAATTTTGAAATATTTACTGACATTAAAGAATGAAAAGTTAAACTAAAAAGTTTAATAAAAAAACATAAATAATTAAATAAATAAATAAAATTTTCAATTTTTGGAAAAAAAGTTACTTGTTCCTAAATTAATTTCTATACGTTTTGTAGTTTCAAACAATTGTGACATACTTCATGTTGTTGCTGAAGTATCTTGTAATAGTCTACAAAAATAAATACGTAAATAATTTTAAGTATAAAATATTTAAGATATACCATATAATAAACATCACAGTAAATCATATTAAAGGGACTTATTAATTTTTGATCAGTTCTAATATATTAATAAATAAAGAATAAACACAAAGCAGTAAATGACTTATTTTATGAATTCATGGAATTATGAACTTATAAATACTGTATGCATATATTAATATTTTATAATTTTAAATATTATTTTAAATATTTCCCTTATTATAATGAAATGAAATATTAAATAAATATTTTAAAAATGCTTTTTAATGTATTAAAAATAGTTTCTGTCAAAAAATACATATCAGTTTATTTGTTTACGGGCAATCATAAAACGTTAAAACATTTTCGTTCTTATTATTCAATATCTCTTGCAGAAACGTTTAAATCTGGGTCATTTTTATGTGTCAAAAGTGTTGTAAATATCCACAAAATATCATATTTCTAATATCCTATGAATATTACAGATATGAAAATATAGAATTTAATGACGTTATGTTAACATTTTACCGATGTTTTTGTGCACAGTTACGACGTAGACTATATAAATAGCATTCATTAAAATTAAAAGTGTCAGTAATTACATTCGACTATAATAGAAAAATGAACTTATATAATTTGACTTTTGTTTTCTGCTTATTTATTTCAATTTCTACTTCTTGTTGCTCAAGAAACTGTAAAAAATATTTTTAAAATATAAATAAAAATTCCTGCTTATGATATTTACTTATATTTTTAATTAAATTTTATATGTGTTATTTTTTTAGATACTAAATTATTATGCGGTTGGACATCCATTACTGTAGAGTCACTTTTTGGATCAATTACAGAATCGCTTCCTCCACTTGATGTAGAATTTCGTCTTTATACTCGTAAAAATCCTTCGTATTATCAGAGTTTAGTGTTTGGAGATGAAAGTAGTATTATTCAATCAAATTTTCTGCATGAAACGGATACGAAATTTCTTATACATGGTTATACAGCTAGTGCGAATCAAGGATTCTATTTGGTGAGTTTCTATAATAAAATGATTAATTTCTATTAATATCAATTAGCATTGTTATTATTTTTTTAAACCAGGAATTAAAGACGGCAATTCTAGCTACACGAGATATTAATGTAATTATAGTAGATTGGGCTGAAGGGGCTTCCAAATTTTATTATCCAGGAGCCATTACAAATTCTTATAGATGCGGTAAAGAAATTGCGAAAATGATAGAGTTTTTACAGGTAAATTTCAATAATTTTTCTCTAATTTTTAAAATAGTTTAATAGTTTTTAAATTAATAAATTAAGATTAACTGGTATTACGTTCATTATGTCCACTCCCAATTTAAATAGAATACAGCAAATTTAAAATTAAGTCAAGTTCACTTAATTGGATTTAGTCTCGGTGGACAAGTTGCAGGATTTACCGGTAAAAGATTGAATAAAGTTTCTCGAATATCGGGTAAACGAGTTAATTTATATACTTTAAATCAATAAGTTTTCAAAAATAAAAAGTTATATACGAGTTAAGATGTAAAACAATTAAATACTGTTATTATTTTAGCTATAGATCCCGCTGGAGTATGTTTTGATGCATTTCCAGTAAAATATCGTTTAAACAGAACCGATGCTGATTTCGTGGATCTCCTGATCACAACTGCTGGAGGTATTTTAAATAATATGCAGTTATTATTAAGGTTTTAGTTTTTGCAAATTTAGAGAAATAATTGATATTACTTTCACTGAATATAATTTTAAAATAATAATAATTAGAAACGTAAATCATAAAAATTTCCTAAATTTAATAAAATTTCTTAAATGTATCAATATTAATTTTAAATTTCTTAATAGTTTATAAATTGAAAAATTAATCTCAGTAAATAAATTAATTAAAAATAAAGATTCTTGCATAATTTTATTTTAATCTATTTACTTTTCATTAGGATAAGACATTTAATATAGGAATAACATCATATATCATTACATTAAATTAATGTTAAAGTGTTTTATATCCTGAATTGTTTGATAAACCTATTTTATTATATTTTCCTGAATTATCTTTCATTTAATTCCTATTAGTCTTTCATATTTTAAAAATAGTTACTTTATACTCTTATAAATTTTGTGGCTGATTCAGAGTCATTAGGCTTATTTTTATTATTAATTATTATTATTAAACACTTTTATTTAATTTGCTTCGTATCGTGTTTACAAATTTTGCAACCCAAATTTCACCCATTTCTAATTAAGATAGAAGGCTGAAATTTTGAGAACTTATCTAATCCCGATGACAATGCATTTTAATTGGGTTTTAAGGGGTGCTTAATGCTTATGTTTATCGGATTTTGGGTTCCACCCCATATATTTAGTGTATGTGTGCGTGTGTGTGTATAAATAATGGTAGATGGCAGTAAGGTCACTATTCCACCATTTTCACTCTAATATATAAAAAACATGACCAATAAACTGCATTTTTTACTGTTTAAAAGTATATTAAAATTATTTTTTATGTCGATTTTTATTAAAATGTTGAATATATTTACAATTTTGTAATTAATAGAACAATATATAATTCTTAATTTAATATCGTAAAACTTTTAATAAACGATTATTTTTCTTCATAACTGACTTTTTTCAAGAACAAATTTAAAGATTTGCCGGAAACTACAATTTGATGACTGTTCAATGATTTTCTTTATCAATTTTTTGAAAGTGAGTTTACTTTCGGATTGTATCTGGATATTTTATAAATTAACTATATCCGGGAGTTGATTCAAAAATAATAGCGAAGTTATTTACCTATTATTTTATTCACGAGAGTTCTCAACATACAAAGAGCATTATTGCGGTTTGACAATTAGAAGCTTTGAAAATAATTCTGAATACGCTTTTCCTATAACGTGATTTTTTAGAAATCTACATTAATATCTAAATTCGGTTATAATGAGAATGATCAATCCTATCTATTAATATATTCATATCACGTAAATATGTTTATTAATTTAATCAAATTATATAAGAATATCTATTAATATGTAACTTATTTAACGAATTTATCTAATCAAAATTAACTTCAAATGAAAGAAAAGACAATTAGTTGATTTATACTCTACCTATGACTCTATTGTTAGAGTACACTTACGAGCAATTTTTCAATTGTAAACTGTTTTTAAAAATTCAGAAAGAAATAAGCTAGTAATCGATACTTAGCTTTATAAACAGTTTTGACATAAATCATTAGCTAAATAACGTGTACTTAAGAAATGACTACAGTAATTGCTATTACTTAAGTATCAATAGCTACAATGAATCATTACTTAATTGTAAACTATGTCTGCATGTATTAAAAACAATTTTAAATCTAATGAGCAAAGTTAAGCAGTTAGCAGTAGGCTATATAAAATTATAGATGTGTTATCCAAAACGATTCCAATTTTGAACAAACGTTGTTTGAAGAGATCTGTTTTAAACGCTTTAACTTGTTATAGTGAGATGCTACGTGGTCACAAGAAAAAAGCAGGACAGTCGATCTTAAATGCGTTTTTAAGAAAATATTTAAACGATCGTTATTATATATTTTACGTCATTATTTATAGTAAATTTAATGTGTTTAATATTTTGACAAAAGTTGATCTCGTTTTTACAAGTGGAAGAATATATCCATGTACTGTACTGTACTTCCTGTGGAATTTCACTACCGTTAACGAAATTTCTTATAACGAATTAAAATCCTAGAATGCTTCTACTTTGTTAACCAAGATAAAATTGTATATGGATAGGAAGCTCAATTCTGTCGTTTACTTTATTAAACTGCAGTTCGATTTCGTAGTAGTTAGATATATGTTTTTAATTATATTCGAAGAAAGCAGAAAGAAATATCTTGTCATTTTGTATATCTTGTCATTTCATTACATCTAAGATTTACTTTTAAAATATCTCAATTATTTTAAAAATTATTCTGTAGTAAAATGTTTAGTTTTATTTAATTTGTTATAATATAATTATTTTTAGAAATTGGCATGGTTATTCCAGTTGGTCATATCAATATCTATTTGAATGGTGGTCACATTCAACCTGGATGTTCTGGAGAAGTAATAAATCGTGTAAGAGGAGACATTTTCTCAAGTAAATTTATATATTTTTTACATTAACAAAAAACAATACTTATAAAATCACACATATAAATCCAATTTAAATATATTTTAATATAGGTTATGCTATAATTTTCGATAATTGTAGTCATAGTTTTGCTATCGAATTTTATAAAGAGACAATTTTGTATCCCGAGTGTAATCCATTAGCTTATCGTTGTTCTGATTACGAGAAGTTTTTAGAAGGCCAGTGTTCCAATTGTGGTGAAAATGGAGAAGATTGCACACTTGCCGGTATTGAAGCGTACGAATATAGAAAATATAAAGAGGATGTGGACAGAATATTTTATATAAAAACCGCTGGGAGTTCGCCTTTTTGCTGTGAGTATTAAATTGTCATAAAATAAATTAATTGTAATAGATGATTACGTAAAAATTAAACGCATCTTTTTTAGTGTATCATTATCAGATTACGATAATATTAGATACTTCGCAAAATAACTTTACTGGAGTTTATGGTAAATCAGTTCTCACGTTTCTTGGAGTAGGAGGAAAAAATATAACGATTTCTAATGATAGGTAAGAAAATTCTCGTAAATATGTGAAACATGAGAAATAATAAAAATCATAATTTTCTCTTCAATTTATTTTAAATTAATGAATTTATTTAAATATTTTAGATTAGATTTGTACGAACCGAGAAAGAGTTATACACATTTAATGACGAGTCAATATGACATTTTGCCTGCCACCCAAGCTTGGTTCTTTTGGTATTTCTATCCAATTTATGGGAAAATACCAAGAAATCCACAGATTTCGTTAAAACGTGTAGAACTAAAACCGATGAATAATATTAATAGGTTCATAATTAAATTATATTTTTAATTAAAATACAATTCTTATAATTTTCTTAAATTGTAAAAATTCGATTTTCATTATATTTCAGGGGCGAATTATCATCTGTATATATTTTTCATACGAAAGAGGCTCAATCGATTTTTCCTGGAGAAAAAATAACGCTCTTTTTAAAATAATTATTCTTCAATTTTAGTAAAAAATTTATAACCAAAAATTGATTAATACAGTTGTTTTTCTTTTAGAAGTGTAAAAATTCGGGTCAATATATAATTATACTTTACAATATTAATGTCAATTTTCGATTATCGGATTANTTTAAAATTGTAAGTAGATTATATTTTAAAAATATAATAAAATATCAAAATTATATTCATTTAAGCTTTGTTTTATTTTAAAAATTGAATGTTATTTTCTTTTTATCCATTTTAAACAGAATTATTTATTAAAACTTCGAAAAGCATGATAACGAAGATGAGAAACAGAAATTTATTGTTCTTTCATGTATCACGATATTACTATTAATCATATTTCGAAAAGGCAAGGAAATGATATCAGATAAGTAGAAGTAAATATTGTATGATGTAATTACTCATATAGTTTACAATCGTCAAGTAGGTCAATAGAGGACGACATGGAACATTATTATTTTATAAAAATCGATTAATCTACTTAAAAATAGGTGATACTATAATGTAAATACAATTTCGAAATTATAAAAAAATAATAATGATAATAATTATTATTAAAATTAAATGAATATTATAATAAACTTACAATAAGTAGGAAGTTTACTTATTGAAAACATATATATTTTATATAATTTGAATACGTAAAATGTACTTAAAAAGTAAAACAAAACGTTGAATTTAACTTTAAAAATTATTATTCTTTGTTTTAAAATATTTAAATTCTTCTAGTAATATTTAGAACTAAACCTGGAGGAATGACTTCTCTCACATTTCCATATAAAATAGTAATTTTACCATCATTAGTTTCTCTGGAAAAAAGAAAAGAGGGTTACAGCATCTTTAAGTAATTTATTATTATTTTTTAAATATAAATTTAACGCTATTATTCTATAAAACATTTAAGTATAAACTTACCTTTTAAGAATTGACATTGGTGTTATTTGAATGTAATCAATTGATATTCTGGGTGTTTTGGTATCGTATACTCTGAATGTTGAGCGAATCCAAAATACATGAGCAGAAATTATGAAACCCAAATTTTCAGGATTTGTAACGAGATACGTATACAATTCTCCTGGTATAAATGATTCTGTGCTATTATCAAAAGAAACTATTATTATAAAAATACTTTTTATTCAATCGGGCTTCTGTTTAATTCAATATTAACTAATAAAGATTTTAATTTTTATAGGTAATAATATGCTTGTAAAATCTGAAATTCGTTTTGATAAGAAGAATTTACTGTATAAATAAATAAGAAACTCACTTTTTGCTCAACTGTGCTGACATTTCATTCTTTTCACCTTTCAATCTAATAAAAATCTGACCATATTGTCTTTCGCTGGCTGGAAAATTTCCAAGTTTAACCAATACTTGATAGTGATGTACTGAAGAAAAACAAACACTTACATCGTTATTACTAGTCGAGTTTCAAAACGAATTTTTGAATTATTTTTCTGTTTCTTTTTTACAAATCTTTACTTACGACAATATGGCCAATGCGGATTTGTTTTAAAATAATATTTTCTTGGAATACCGTCGTGAGGTACAGTGCAACAGGAGTCGCTTTGCATGCCCATAATAGCGCAGTCAGTTCCATCCGATCCGCAACTGGCACACTTTCCATCTAAGAATGTGTCCCAATCGGTGCAAGTATATCCCACATATTGACACGTGGGGTTTAATAATGCATCGCTAAATAAAGACTCGGCCCAATGATGGCTACAACGTGCTAATGCTTGTGCTAAACATAATTTTTATTTTTATTAATAGGCCCTATATCATATTAAGAATCTTTTATTAATATTCTTAAATACTATATTTGTAATTGGTTAATATTTATACCATTTTGTAGTTTCCGTTTGCTTGCTGCATCAACTATTTTATCCAAACATCCGGGCTGATTTACACCTCCGTTAGGATAGAAATCAAAATTACCTATAGCTTGAGGAAGACCATAACCTAAAAAAATTCATTAAAACTGAAAAATTAATAACTTAACGCATATTTATTAAATATTAAAACAATTTTTACCTCTAAAATATTCTTCACCGTTCGTATGAATGACATCGACGAATGTTGCATCAGTATTATCAAGACGAAATTCTGGTGGATACGTCTTAAAACCAGAACCAGAAGGATCTAATCCTGTATATAATTAACTTATTACACGCTAATTAAATTTAATGGCAACTGAAATTAGATAATTTATAACATATACTCTACAATACATTACATATTTACCAGTTATTCTTCCTAACTTGTTAATTTGTTTCCCCACAAATGAGTTTATATGAGCTCCCAAATCTGATCCAATTAGATGAAATTTCTTTAAATCTCCACTAGTAACTTCCTAGAAATGTAATTTTGTTTTCAATGTACACTATTAATAAACTTATATATTATTTATAAAATTATTTTTATTAATAACATAATAAATTTATGGAAGATTTTTGCCTTTAAATACTTGATCATCCAAGTGACTTCCGTGCTAATCCGATGAATATTCAGCACAGAATAGGGAAAGTGAACTCTGGCTGCTTCACTCCAATCTACTATAATTATATTATAATCTCCATAGCTCAGTAATGAAGTTTTTAGCATCTGGAAAAGATACAAAGTAAATTAATTTGTATCTATTTTATTAAATTGAAACCCATTTCAGTGAAAGAAAATCACATACTTGAACCCAATCATCGTCGGCAGTTTGTCTAAATCCGTGCACGATAAATTTTGTTGGAAGGTCACCTTTATAATAAGAACTTCTGACAGTCACTACATCTCCGGGTCGAAGGTTGTGAAAATTGTCTGGATTTTGACGGGTGTACAGGCGATATTTTGTCAATGGGATGACACTCGATATCACAACAAGTTCTTTCAATAATTGTACTGGATCATACACATCTTCGTTAGGAAAATGTTTATAAATACCAGTACAGTTGAAATCTGCCTCTAATTTAAAATAACATTTCATAGTGTAAATAATAATTGTTTATCACGTAGTTAATTAAGTTATTAAATAACAAAATGAATTTATTAAATATTCACCAGACAATATTTTTTGTACATTATAATGTAAATTTTATATCGACCAAATTTAATAGAAGTCCTTAAGATAAATATATTCTCCATCATTATTTCACCAATATCAATGTCACTATAGCAACTATTGTAAAAACATTGACTACTAAATGCGATTTTTAGATAAATGACAAAAATATAAAAAATATATCTAATTTTATGTGAAAAATGAACATAAAAAAGTAAATGGTTTTTAAGGAAAATAGCATACCCATATACTTTTAAGACGTGTCTTGGGTTTTTTAATATTCGAGGGAAATATTTTTAAAATGTACTGTAGGCCTACCTAGTTGAAACTTGTATAGAAGGCATAAAAAACTTAATAAATTCTCCAATATGAATTAACTAATTTAAATGTTTAATGATAAAATATGTGGCATAATAATTGTGTCATTTTATTCTATGCAAACTTTATTTCTTCGAATTTTTATTTTTTATGAGTATGATCCACTTTGTACAAATTTTTTCTGTTCATGTATTGACACAGTCAAACTATAATTTTATTTATTACGAAGCCTTAAAATTTGTAAAATTAATGTAAAGCATAAATGTTAACAAAAACATTAAAAACATAAACATAATTAAATTTAAAAACTTTAAAAGCGAAGGAAATTCTATTTAAATATCCGATGAATACATTTTACTTTAAGCGACAGAGAATCTAGGTACTGTACTTATTAACATAAAAATGATTATTTAAGTTCGTATTATCTTGTATAATTATTTTAATTTCATATTTAAAAATTATAACGTTGATGAATAAAGTTTATTTCAATTTACTTACGCTTAGCAATTGACAGAGTCCACAGAAGTTTGAAAAGTAATGCAACGACAAATATATCCAACTTGTACATCGTTTATAGAATATGTATTAACACTGTTCTGGTCTGATGCCATTATATGGTGTTTTATATAAGATTTATATTTATCGACAATCATCTTCAGGGACCAATTGTAGATGTTCGCGTGAGTCCATCGTTCTCTCATTAGAGCAGTTTTTTCAATGAAAAACCACAGACAATAGATACAACTAAAGGACCTTGGATAAACTTGCTCGAATGACTATCGGTAATGGACGTTTAACGAATTTGAAATAGTCAAACATGTTTGTAATACAAATTCCTAATTATATTTTAAATAAATAATTTTAAAATATGTTCCGCCCTAACTTTTGCGTTTGTGAAAATTTAAATTAATAGAAATAAAACTATTGTTAAATATCAATTACTTATCACGGAAAAGAATCTCTCACGCACATTTATAAGACCTCTGTTTATCGTACTGTTTATGAATTAATGAATACGCGAAACTACTAATTACTTTACAATAAAAGGAAAAAAAAGAGTAAAAATGAAAGAACCTTTATAAGAAAAAAAGTCGACCTTGGAGTAAAAAAAGAGTATGATTTGCTCGTCGACGAGATAAGGTCGATTTTCGCATTAGATTCTTTCTTATGTCACGTCTTATGCATTTCCTCTTTTTGTTTTCTGTTGTGTCATTGACGATATTCGGTAATACCCAAAGATTGCACAGAAATTTAACCTTAAATTAGTATCTAAAATATTTTAAAACATTGCAAGCAATATAGTTATATACTTATCGTCCAATGCATCTGTAGATTGAGCCATTAAGTCTAGCTAATAGGATATGCAAGGAAGCTTCACAAGGACCACATTATTTAACATTGTATAGTTTAGTGTTTGAAATTAAGGAAAAAATAATATGATATAAAGGTCAAGTAGCTTTAAACAGAAGCTTTATTGCCTTTAAATTTTCTATAAAAAAGAAGAAAGACACGTTAAAAGCTAAACTTAAAGCAAACAAACAGAATATAATGAAACGGTATTTTTATTTTTAACTTTTAATAACATAATTCACTTAACTATTTTACACTTCATACATATTAAAGAATAATGTATATTTATATATAACTTAAATAATTAATTATAAAAGAATGTATCAATAGTAGCGTGACGTCAATCTATTTATTCGTGCGAATATCTTATAAAAATTAAATTGTTTTAAAAATTATGCATAAGATTTAAATTTTTAAATATATAATGAATAATTTAACATAATAGTAGAAAATGAAAAATTATTTTTTGTCTTTGATACAAGTTTTTAATTCATTTATTTTATCGTTATTCGTTGGTCTTATTTTATGATTTAAATTTGTAGCTTTAATTATCACGAAAAAAGTACTAAAAATCTTACAAAAAGAAAAATAATTTTATGTTTGCTGTTCTATTCTCTTAAAAAACGTCTCATCTACTGACAGGAAACTGAAGTTTAACAACGGAAAGGTGGATCTTCAAAAGATTGATAGTGTTAGATTGGCATTGTTTTGCACTCCGGATCTTTCTCATTGAAAGGATAGAAAGAAGCCGACTTGTTAGAAATATTTTAACTATTTGGTCGAGAAATACTCTAATTCCCAATGGAAAGTGTATATTTAACTTAGTTCTGTCACGCAGGTAGAGTAGCTTTCCTAGCTATCTATCCTGCCTGCATGACAGGATCAACCCTGACGACTTAAGCTTTTCTAGATTTGATGTAAATTCCGTTCTGTCTAATTAATTATTTTCTAAATAATTTTATTACTCTAATTAATCTGAAAGTGTATTTTTGAAGTGAAGATATTCTTATTTAATAACAAAGTTTATCGACAAAAACCAAAGCTAGGATAATTCTTACAAATAACAATATATTATTTGGATTATTTAATATCAGCTAAAGTCTATTTTATTTTGATAAAATCGAGTAGTATTGTAAGCAGAGTTTAAAATCTGCTACTCATTAACATCTCTCCCCATTAACTTCACATCTGCGATCGTCAAGAATTCGGAGAACTGAGGGGAAGGAATAGCTTGGTCAGGGGGATAGAGGAGAGAAAGGAGAGAAACCTTTCACCCTGGACATATGTGGAACGGATGTAAAATTCATCTGTGCTTGTGATCACCTTTCTTTTTAGTTCAATTATTGTATTATTAATGTTTGTGATATTACAAGTATGTATACTAATTAATCTCAAAAGTGTTTGTTTAATAATTTGAAGGGCTTTCACAAGTATTCAATTTAGTTTTCTACCCATTTTGAACATTCGAAACACGTTAATCAGTTTGTTATAATTAATCTTTTAATTATCGACCTGTTATAATTAATTTAATTTAAAAGTTTTAAAATTTTTTGAATATTTTCATAATTGTCAAAATATATTTTATAAATAAAATTGCTTTTTAAATTTTATATAGAAAGGAAGTATATTTGAAAATCAATACAAAGTAGGAAGTTTTAAACTTGTTTAGAAGTTATATATATATGTAGAAGTTCAGTATTTTTGACCTACTAAATTTGTTAATAATAAATAATACTATATAATGTTCAGAATGTCTAGTTTTTCTTTATTGAGATGCAAAGATAGATCTTAAGCAAAAATGATAGTTTTATAAATATTTCAATATTAACAAATTCATTTTTAATATTATAATTTTACTAAAGTATGAATACACAATAAATAATAAATGTTATTATAAGAAAGTTTTATGCATAAATTTTTAAAATAATATAAATTAATCGATATTCTTGTTTTGTAATTTAATATTTTAATGAATAAATTAGGTTGGCAAAAGAAGAGGTAATTATTATATTTTTACATTATTTTAATTTTTATTTACTTGTTAGTATAAAGGAGATNTGACAGTTAATGATACATAATTTTAAAAATATAATAGTACAATGAACATTTTTTTTTCCTCAGCAAAGTGACAGAATAAACTACAGTTCATTTTCTACGGATAATTTTCTATACAACATTGCAAAAACATAGGAAGAAACAAATGTTCGTTTCCGAATGGTATCAAATGACTTGTCTCTTAAATATAATCGATTGAATTTCGTTGCAAGAGTATCTCCTAATAGAAATATAAATACAGTAAAAGTTATCTAGAATATTATGGCTGAGAGTAGAAAAATTTCATTTCTTTTATTTTTGAAACAATTAAAGGAAGGAAAAATAATATGGAACTATGATTACTAAGTTTTGGCTCTATAGAGGACTTATCACACACTATTGACGTTATCGGAATAATCACACAGAAGTCGGTAGACACAAGTTTATTATGTCGACGATATGCATTTCGGACAGGTTGTCTGTGTCTTCAGCCGTATTTGTTACAATTTGGTGGGTTTATATAAGGCATCTACAAAAATACAAGCGGTTTTTTGTTAAAAAACAGGTTTATGATTAAAATATTACAAAATTACACTTTTATATATACATAAAAAAACATCTGTTGCTGATGCATGGATGACTTCATATTCGGTATCTTTCACAGTCGTTATATTATTTTTTCCGTACAAATAGTAACCAGAGATTAAAATTGTTGCTAATGAAATTAATTGTAAAGTAAATACTATGGTAGACGAACGTAATTCAAAGGTTACATACGTTTTGCAGGCAGTCAACTCGTACAATGTTCTCTACTATAGAAGCGATGCTACTATAGGATGGTATCCGGTGTTGGTGATATAAGTATTACCTGTTGACTAATAAGTTTCAGATGTATAAGGATGCCAAATGGGATCTAGCTGTATCTCTGTGTTTTCGTTTATTCTTACGTTATCATGGATTTTGATAATTTCTAAATGTTCGTAGAATTTGCGTTTGGTAGTATTTCTTTCGGAAAATAAACCAACCAATCAAGAAAAAATAAATTTAAATAAAGTGAAGTACGACATAAAATGATGCACATAAAAATAAAAACAATTTCAATTATAATTATAAACATAAAACTGTATTAATTGTCAATGATTTAAAAAGTCTAAAAAATATTATGAAAGCTCGTTAGTAATAAAATTGTATAGATGATTAGTAACACAATCCATGTTGAATTTTTTAAAAAAGGAAATAAAATAAAGAATTTAATAATATGAAACACAAAATAAAAGAGTTAAAATAGAACATCTAATTAATTATAAATATTGTATGAGCTCAATGAAAATTGATTTTTCGGTCTAAAGCAGTTGAAAAACTAATAAGTGAATGTAGAGATCGGATGTCAAGAAACTCATTGTAGGCAATAAAAATCTCTGTGAAGTGAAGCTCTCCAAGAAAAACAAATCAGAGATCTCAACTCAGTGATAAGATTAAAATCGAACTAAAATTATACATAGATATATTATCACCATCTGCTTCAACTGAGACATTTCCTTTCTTTGGTTTATAACGGATGCTATCACACTCATTTATTTTTAAATAAGTTTGTGATTGGTTCTTTGTAAACAAATTACATTTTATTTTCATAATTTCTAATAAGCTCAAAAATTTTTCTTTTGTGCTTGATGATTATGATTCAGTTTTCCTGTATAATTTAAATATTTATGACTAAATTAATTTGAAACTTAATAATTAAACATATTATTGTAACAGCATAAAAAATATTTGGTTCGCGAATTTTTCGGTAATTCTTTATTATTATAACACTATATTTTGTATGTTTAATACATTATTTATGTTTATTATAACTCTCGATTTTTACCAAATAATTATTTTTATTAAATAAAAAAACTTATGAATTCTATCTGAAAATGTAACATTTTAAGCATAAAATAGTCCATTTGAAATTATAAAAGTTGAAAAAGTGTTATTTATATTTTATTTATGCAAATTTCAAATATATAAATATTCAACTTTTATTTCATTAATATTTATATTAATACGTAATGATAAATTTTGTAATTTGTATATATTACTTTTATAAAAAATAATACGTTCTGAATATTTTGATCAAATTTATAGGGCAAATTTAATTTAAAAAATTAAAATATAGTTTGAGAATAATTTATCAGGTTAAATATCAACATATTTAACACCGAAATTTATACTATAAAAAACGTAATTACTTTTCTTAGACGTTTCTTATTATCGAATGCACTCAGGTTACAAAGTTTATGTCTAACTTCACTTTTACAGCTGTAACAA